CTTATCAGACCTATTCAGATCCCGCTCCCCCTCGCCCCGGGGGCCCCTCCCTCGTACCCCGGGCTTTCGGTGTTGGAGGACGGTTACCCGGGACGGCAGCCAGGCGTGTTCTGCCCTCTATACACCTCTGTATTCGCTTTGCGGGTAAAGCACCCTGGGGGGTGCGGACGCGTCGGGTTTCTTTCTTTCGGTATTTGTACGTTTTATTTATGAACGGATTGCACTCGGGTCAGGGAGGGGGCGCCGAACCCTTCTTTCCCGCCGACGCCGGGGGCCTGGGAGGTTCAGGATCACTTCTCTGCCCCGGAGCCCCGCCCCTAGCTGGGTTTTGCCTCCTGGGAGCCTCGGATCCCGCCTCCCTAAGGCCGGCCCCTCCCTCTCCGAGGCCCAGGCCCCGCCCCACTAGGTTGCCAACTTTCGCCCGTCTATGCCAAAGCCTCGGCGGCGACCCCGCCCAAGGGCCCGCCCCATTGGCCGCCGCCTTGTGACGTCACTGCATGCAGCCCCATCCCTTCTCCCACCCCTTCCCGGGGCTGCCCGCTCCCTTTTCCTCTTAGTTAGTCCGATGCCGACTATAGAGCAATAATGCGCACTGCATGCGAAGCTGCCGCAGCCTCTAGAGTTACTGAGAATCAGGTATCCCCCGCCCTATCCACCCCATAGGACCCTAGATCAGGGATGCTGCGCGGGGCCGGCCGCGCAGACTTTCTTAACTCCCTTCCCACTCCCCACGGCCGAGCCCAGCAGGCGGGCATCGTGGTTTCAGGGGCGGGACAGGGTGGTTGCACCCAAGGCTCCTCGATCAGTCGTCCATCACTCACCGATCGTCCATTGGGCATTTATTACGTGCCAGGCCCTTTGCTGCGTCCACGAGAGACGCTGCGACCTTTGGGGAAGTGTATGTCCACTACAGAGGCCCAGTGGGCTTGGATGGGCTAGGGGCAGATGTAGATGCAGAGCGCCTGGGCCCTGGGCCCATGGTTCCTTTCTCCACACCTCAGTTCGGTTCCATGGTGGCCGCTTTCGGGCTCTGCCTTTGACTCGGGCTTTGCGTCCCCAGCTCAGGTGGCACAGACTCAGGCACCCAGGGTCCAGCTATACTGTGGCGGCCCCATACAGACGCGGGCCCCCTGATTCTCTGGTAAGCATGGTTCTGCCGTCAGTAGTCAGGGTGCAAGCTGGAGTACAGAATGTGGCCAGCCTCATCCCCCAGAGCCCAGGTTGGTTGCCCCAACCCCCTCAGCCACCAGGTGTGGTGCCTGCATCGTTTTCCAGCCGGGTCTGCCTGCCTGTGCCGCATGCACAAGCTCACACCGGCGCCTCATGTCGCTCCACCGTGCACCCCTGTCTCCCTACCTAAGGAGAAGATCAGAAGGTCGTTGGCCCACCAGGCTCTCCTGCTTCCCTCACACCCTGCCACGGTGGAAAGCCATGGGCCCCCTCCCGCCCCCATAACTAAGCAGCACAATAACCGACTTAGTGAATTCAGGTAGAAGGAACGTTTAGGTAGCACCTATTTTGTACTGATTCTACAAGTAGGGCCCGAGGTGCGGGGCCCTCGGGTGGGGGATGTGGCCGCCGGCCCGCCCCGCCCCCACCCCCGCCTGCGCCCCGCCACCTTGTACATATTCCTGCCCGGAACAGGCCGGGATTTTTACTCGGGCCGAGCCCTTCTACCGCCCCCGTTTGGGGCCGGGCCGGCCGGACAGACGGACGGACGGACGACAGACCTCCTTCCTAAGCACAATAGCACCAGCTCCCTGGAGCGCCGCACCTCCACAAGGAGAATAAATGCCACTCTTGATAGAATTTGGAGTGTTGGCTGAGTGTTCTTGCTGGGGACTGCGGGGGTGTCTTCCTAATTCTTCAGCTCCAGTGCAGAGAATTACAGATAAAGATGTGACCCACCAGACCTTCCTTCTGGATAGGGCTGGCTTGGCTGCCTGAGCCACAACACATCTATTTATCTGAAGGTAGAATAGTTAGCACTTCCCTTGTGGCAGGTGAATCTGTGTTGTACTAGGAATTGAGGACACCAAAGGGCTCTTGCCCAATGTCAGGCTCAACCCAGGCTGACCTAGAATGGGCAGAAAATGTACAGAAAGGGCTACAGTCCTTTGGTCTGAGAAACCTCCATTCTTCTATATGATGATCTGCCACTCTCTCAGGCCTGACCTGCTGCAGGCAGCTACAACAGTGTTGTGTCCCTCATCCCTTGCAAGCCTTCTGATATGCTGTTGGAAGAAATAGGGATAGTGATTTTGAAGTCAGGCCTCTCCCTGTGGCCTGCTGCCTTCATCCTGACCCTCAGATTCTGGGGTTGTACTCAGTATTGATGGAGAATAAACACCCCCAGGGACAGCTGTCCTGGGTTAGTTCCTGGGAGGTGGTGCATGGGGCAGAGAAGCTTCTAAAGCCACCCATGACCCTCAGGGGCTAGATTAGGGGAGCTGAGTTGAGGACATCAGGGGCAGGGCTGGGTAAGAAGAGGACGGGGTCCCAGACCCCTAGCTCAGCTATGATCCCTGGCAAGCAAGTAGGCAGGCATGAGCTGAATATCTGCCCAAAGACATGTGGTCGAATTAGGTCAGCCCTATGCCAGAGCCAGCATAGCTGCTCATACTCTGGCAAGGGACCAGACCCATCTGAACTCTATCCATTTTCTCCCCTGTGATGGTCATGGCCTCTGGCCCTTCTGCTTCAGGGTGGGGGTATAATGTGGGGGATGAATGTCCCCTTCTCATGAGCTCTACCAGAAACAGCAGCAAGAGTAAAGGCATACCTAGTTACTGTGAGGGGTCAGTGGCTAGGGCCTCCTATAGAGAGATCCTCACTGTATGTGGACTGAGTTGGCATTATTTGGTTTTTTTTTTGTTTTGTTTGGTACTAGGGATCAAACTCATGACTTCGTGCTTTCTAGGCTAACATTTATGCCGCTAAGCTAAATCCCTGGCCCTGGCATTATTTCTCTATTTGTACTTGAGGAATCTGAGTACTAGAGAAGAGAAACAGCATGTCACATCTAAGGATGAGAAACCCAGAGTTGCCTTTGACACAGCCTTGTCCCAGTCCCCATCCACACCATACCTAATCTATGACCTGACAGTTGGCAGTGGCAGACAAGAAAGCTCCCAGCTGTCCATTCTTTACCAAAGGATTCCACACTAAAGTGTTTTGAATGGCCATTTCTGCTTCTCTGGGATTCTGAGGATGGTACAACTGGAAGGATGAATGCATTCTCCCCAAAGCCTAGTATGACAACACCTCCCTATTATTCTCAGCTATGGGAATGATTATCGATTGCAGAGAATGGGTGGTACAGGCCACTGTAACACTACTGCTGTGAGCTCTCCCTACCAGTAGTGCCTGCTCATAGCCCCAAGGACTTGGGGTCAGGTCCTTTCTCAATCTCAAACTCCCTCCTGGTCCATTATTCCACCAGGCTTGCAAGCCTGTCCACCCCAACCTGGACCCCCCTTATTTACTGATAACCCCATCATGGAGATCTGCACCAAGATTTCCTTGCCAATCCAGTCACACACTTTTTTTCCTTAAACAACCTTCCCTAATCTGACCTTTCTCCTCTCCTTGGTGCCCTGGGTTGTACCTTGCTGTGGATTTTTGGGGGTGCTGCGAGAGTTCTGCCAGGCAACACTGGCCTCAGCCTCACCCAGCTGACTAGACTCACCTCCCTGGTGGCTCTAGTCCCCTATTAGGTCACCTTTCTACTAAGATCATTTACTGACTGATTGCTTTGAGCTAGGCATAGTCAAGATAGCCACTTCTAGCTCAACCCTTCATGCATCATGGGCTGGTAAGCTATGTCTCTCTGGGCCTACTGGCAGGCTGAACTGACAACCTTCTGTGAGCACTGGCCCGAAGTGGACTGGCCTCTAGTTCTTGGTTCTGTATTGGAGTGTGGCACTGCCACAGCATACTAGCTGGGGCGTAGGGTGGGAGCACTAGGATTCCTATGCCTCACCCTTACACATCAGGCTCTACAGGGGACACTATTCTCTGGCCTCCTTTTTGGGCTCAGTATTCACAAGGGCATAGCCCTGCCTGACCCAAGCCCAGCTACATCTCACTGCCAAAGATTGGGTTGAACAGATATGTTATGGGAGGCTGGGGTAGGAAATGAGATGGTCCTGATCCAATGAGGCTTACCCATGAGGGTCTTTCTGGCTGGTAGGGTGGCTCTCTGCAGGCTACCTAGATACCTGCCAGGTAGTGCCTGCTTCCTCATGTCTGGCCTAGAATCTGCTAAAAATGACCTGTGTTGCTGGGGATTTAGCTCAGCGGCATAGGCGCCTGGCTGGCGAGCATGAGTGTTAGGTACAAAAAAAAAAAAAAAAAAAGACTAAAAACAGGTCATAGGCGGGAAGTGCCACAGCCCAAAAATGGTAGAAGTGGGGTGAGGTTGGTGGGAAGTCTCAGACTCAAGATGGTTTGTTTGAGAGGCACTTGTATGTTTCTGCTGCTCAATGTGTTTGCGGGGAAATCTGGCCTACACCAAGCAACTAGGGTGACAGATCAATTGCTTCACTTAGGCAGATGCACATGGTCAGGGCTCTTTTCCAGCTTGATCCTGATTTGATTTTTGTAGGGTATGTTTCCGCCAGGTGAGCGCTCAGACGTAAACCCCGGGTCAGGGCAGCCAGACCAAAGTGTATGAAGCTGCTCATAGCTGACCTACGCCCCAAACGGGTGGCCGAGCCAAGGGATAACGAAACTCTGTGGTTACAAAAGTGGGACAAGGGGGCAACGAGAAGTCGGGGAACGTGCTGAGCTGCCAGGGAGTTGGGCGCCGGCGCAGTCCTCGGGCTGCCTGGCCCCACCAGGGTAAGTTTACGACTTTTCCTCAGGGAAGAGACCGCGCGAGACGCAATACTGACAAGCACCTCCGCGACTGCGACTCCCAGGGTGCTCTGCGCTGCCGCTGAGGCTCCGCCTTCCGTAGGTCGCGAACTACAAGTGAGCGAGCACAGCAGCTGTGGGCTAGTCACCGGTTCCTGGCCAGTAAGCGGCTCCGGAGTAACTACGGTGGCCGGCAGGGGGCGGTGGCGGCCGTTGCCAGGAATCCGGACACTGGGCTGCGGAGCTGCGGGCCTCGCGCGCGGCAAGCCCGGTGGGGCACGACTTGGGAGGCGCGGCTAAGGGCCATGGGCGACCGTGGCGGTGCGGGCGACTCCTGGCGCAAGAGGACTGGGTCGCGGCCCTCGGGCCAGGGTGGCGGCGGGCCCGGGGCGGCGGTGGAGGATGTGAGGGACGCAGTCGCAGGCCCAGACGTAGGAGCCAGAGGGGAAGTGCCGGCCCAAGCCCGCGACAAAGACGGAGACGCCAGAGTGGACAGCGACCCCTTGGAGCTGAGGTAGCGGAGCGCCTAATCTCTCACCTCTGATCCGAGACCCTGCTGTCTCTCGGGGCTGCCCTGGAGGTTTGGGCTTAAATCCGGGGACCATTGTGCCTTGACAGGACATCGACGTTTTTTGAAGAGGGTCAGCTGCCAAGGTCACCCCATGGGTCGAGGAGTGAACGTGCGGGGTGTGTGTGTGGGATGGGGAGTGGCCTGGCAGATGGGCACCTCTCAGACAGGTCCTTAAAGACTGGCGTCTGTCCGGTAACTCGGCCTTCTGGTCTGGAAGGAGGTGGATGGGAATATGAGGCGTCCCTTCTAAGGGCTTCTCCGGGTACCGGGGGTGGGGTGGGGGGTGGGAAAGGCTCCCGGAAGAGCTGGTTTGCCAGGGAGGGGCCATCTGGCCTCAGCCCCATCTGAAATCAGGAGAGTGGGCATCTTGTCTAGGGGAGAGGGTAGGTAATACAAGAGGCTTTCTTGTCCTTGCAGACTACTAGAGTTTGTCCCTCACAGAATGGCTGGAAAGGCCTCGATCCCTGTTTATACTAGCAGGCGTGCTCACTGGAGAGTCAAAGCAGGTCTCATGTGGGAATTTTCACCCACTGGTTGGAGTATAGAAGTTCTCCAGGTGTGGTGAGGTACATACAGGTGGGCCCTCCTTACCTGAGTGACTGCCATGGCAGCGTGATGACCTCTACCATGGCTGATGGGGAGAATTGGTTGCCTGGGTATTGACTCCTTTCTCCAAACTGGCCCTGAGTCCACCCCCAACCCATTCTTTCTAGCCTTCAAATGGACTTTCAGGAGCTTTGTGTTAGGGAGCAGCTGAGGGGCTAGGAGGAAGTGGGCAATGTGTGGATTATTTGAAAAGGACTTACTTTCTCAGTAAACAAGCCTTTCTTCAGTGTGGAGAGGGGGGTAAGGGAGGACTGCTGTGGTGCAGGCCTGTCACTTCCCTTGGGCTTTTTATAGTTCACCTGGCAGATAAGATAACCGTAGTGTGAGACATATGTAGCACAGTGTGAACAAAGGTCAGTGAGGAGTCATGGGGGAGGAGGGTGACCCTCCTTAGAGGGGTACTGACTCCCTATACCTCCTATGTGAAAAGTTTAAGGTCCTGGAGTTGGTCCCCTACTGACTATCTCAAATTTTTATTTTTATTTTTTTTATCGGTACTGGGGATCGAATTCACTGCCTGCTTGCAAGGCAGGTGCTTATGCCACTGAACTAAATCCCCAGCCCCTAAGTTTTTTCTTTCCAGGAGATAGGGCAATGGTTAGTAGGATTTCTGGAGTGGTCAAGAATTGGGGTTCCTTCACCAGACTACCACCTACAGATAGGCAAAGAGAGCAGTCAGGTGCCTGCTTTTCACTAGCCAAAAAGCCTTTTTTTTTTTTTTTGTCTTTTTCTTTTTTATTGGTACTGGGGATCGAACTCACGACTGCCTGCTTACAAGGCAGGCGCTTATGCCGCTGAACTAAATCCCCAGCCCCCCAAAAAGCCTTTTCTATGACTTGCTGGTATGGCGCTTCTGTGAGGCTGGTAGAAAAGGCCAGGTTAGTGGAAGTCTTGTCCCTGAGAAGAGAAGTGGTAGATGACAGGACACCATACAGGGCTGGAGAAGAAAGCCAGTTGATGTCTACTTGTGGACAGGTTTTATGTGTTTCTCCCTCAACAAGGAGAATGAATGCTCAAGTATTGTTGGTAAGGGTGCTAAACTTTGTTTTTTAGACCAGGTCTTGCTGTGTAGTTCACGCTGGACTCTAACTTGCTATGTAGCCCAGGTTAGCTTTGAGCTTGCAGAGATCCTAAAGCCTCTGGCTCTCAAGTGCTGAGATTACAGGCATGGGACACCAGGCCTGGGTCTGTTTTTATGTTTTTTGTTTATTTATTTTTGTACCAGGGATTGAACTCATGACCTCATGTTTGTCAGGAATGTTTTTAAAAAACTCTTTTGGTACCTGGGATTGAACTGATGACCTCATGCTTGCCAGATAGGCACTTATACCACTGAGTTAAGTCCCCAGCCTGTTTTTATGTTTTGTTGTTGTTGTTGTTGTTTGTATTTATCTTTCTGAGGCAGGGTCTCACCATGCAGTTCAGGCTGGCCTTCAACTCACTTTGTAGTCAAAGTTGGACTTGAATTTGCAGGGATCTTCCTGACTCAGCCTCCTGAGTGCTGAGATTTCAGGCATGTGCCACCATGGCTGGCTAGACCCCATTCTTCCTGCTGGTAGGCCAGGCTTTAGTCTGGCTGCCTTCTTGAGACTTGGGCCCAAGCTCACTCTTCTCTTATGTCTTCCCTCCTCCCTGCTTATTGCTGCATTTGGCCCAGTACACCCTTCCTCTCCACTTTCCTCCTGATTCTTTGAGCTCTCACCTCCTCCCCTCCTGAATACTTCCTGTTAACCTTGTGCTGAGCAGATGAGCCAGACCCTGAATATGAGCTCATCTCTTCTGCCCTGTGGAAAATGAGACTGTGAAGCAGGAAGTAGAGGCATTCCTGTTTTGCCTGCTATTCACACTTTCAGGCTTTAGACACTCGAGCTGGCCGTTGGTTTATGACCACCCTAGACTGAACTTTCTGGTTTTGGGTTCTTGGTGAACCTTGCAGGGGTTTCAATGATAAACAGCCCACTGCAGCACACATGCCATAGGTACTAGGGTATTTGTAGCAGAGTATCCTATTTATCTCTTGCACCCTAAAGGTTGGCCAGAGAATGGCATAAAGTAAGTGTTAAAAAGCTGGCATTTGGAAGAATAACTGGTATTCTGGTCCCCTTCCTCATTCTGCCTGTTCCTGGAGTTGCACCATATGGTCCCTGGAAAGTCCATGGGAGGCTGAGCCATTGGGCATGATACAGACTGTGGGAGGTGTGGGGATGAGTGTGTACCTACAGGAACAAGAGGGCACTCTGTCTGGAGTCCAGTTGGTTAGGCCTGGAATGTTAGGAGAGAAGAGCTATTCCTTGTCCTCTTGGCCTCAGTGGAGTGAGTATAGGACAGCTGGAAGGTTCAGGGCACTGGCAGGTTGTCCAGTAGGTGAGAGAGTGACACCGTCAGCTCTTGGCATGGCTGGCTAGTTCCGCCTCCCCTCCTGCCATCCCTGTGCTTTGTCCTCCAGCCTACTTGTTGCTGACCAGGCTGGCAAAGCTTGTATTTTTGTGGGCCTTGGTATATGAAGGGGTTCTTACCCTGGGCCAGAGGCCTCTGACCTGTGAGAAAAGGGGCAGCACAGGCTGAGGCTCTGCGTAGTACGGCTGCTGCCTAAATATGGATCTGGTTCATAGGCCATGTGAGGAACTAGGGTATGGGTGTGGATGGTCAAGGAAGGCCTTGGAGTCCCACAGGGAGAAGATGGGCGTAGATAACATAGGACCGCCTCCTTGGCGGCCAAAGGGTGCAGAGTCACACTGTAGTGAAACAGTCCTAATGGTGTGAAGACAGCAAGAAGGGGCTGGGACAGTTCTAGTTAGTGAATGGGCTTCAGCTTGAAGGATGGGGGAGTAGGGAGACCTAGTCTAGCAGACAGGCCCAGAGAGGTCATCTGCTTGTCTCATGGGACTGGGGCACTGGGGAGGACAGGCAGTGAGTATAGCTAGTTGGAGTTGGTGCCCAGTCTGTTGGTTATAAAGGTAGGGACAGCTGGGGAGAAGAGGAGTTAAGATAAGATCACAGCCTCACTGTATGGGTTGAGATATACCTCATGGGTAGATTCAGGAAGCCCAGGCCTGAGTCTGGGAGAGGGGGCTGGACAGTGGTTGGGACTAGGGTTGGTGTAGAGCTATCCACCATGGTGCTCCAGTCTTAGATGGGCAGGAAGGGGGGTAGTAACCATCTTCATACCAGCCAAGGGCTACTGGGAGATGTGGGTGAGGCCAGGTGCCAAGCAGACACTGGTCTGAGGATCACAGGTTGGGCCTATTAACACTGCCCCTCAGGTTCCTTAGCCTTTCTTTTCCTGGGTGACAATGTTCAACTGCTGACTCTGACTAAAGCCATGGTTTTTTTCTGGGCACCAAGGCAAGACCAGCTCTAAGAGGACATCTGTGCCGTGGTGTCTCTTCTGTGGACCTTCACCCTGCTCCCACTGCCCAGATGCTCTGATGTAGACATGGGTGTGGTGAAAGGAAAAGGAAGGCAGTGGCCTCTCTTACAAAACAAAAGCCTTGCTCAATGCTGTATGGGGCTTCCTGGTGGCATTGCTGCTGAAGGGCAAGGCAGGGCTGAACTGGTGAGTGAGCAAGGGTGTTGCTTCTTGGCACATAGGCTCTGATTTTGTGCCTGTTATCTTTTCCTGTTGTCTTTGGCTTTGTCAGGGTTAAGCTCCAGTCATATAGTGACCTCTCTGGCAGGCTCAGTACCCTTCTTCATAGGCATATTTGTATGTCTTCCACTCTAATACTGGGTAGATGCTTCTTCTGCAGGCCCCTACCATCAGGTTTTTGGCCCTCAGCACTCCCAGCCCACATATGACCACAGTGCTTATGAACACAAGGACCAAGTCTTTGCTCCCAGAAAGGTGCATATTAGGCAGGGTGTTTGATCAGCTGTTTTACTGAGTCCCTGTGCTCCCTCAGGCTGTGTGGTCAAGTGTAGGGATGAGGCTCTTCTGGGCTCTAGTGGGGACTCCTTGTTTCGTAAGGCCAAGCCCAAATAGGGCCAGCTAGCTCCTGCCTGCTGTGATGTGCCCCTTCTCACTGCCTAAAGGAGAAGGCTTCCGGATGGTCCTGAGAACTTTGCTCATTGCAGACCATGTGGCTGCTGCCATAGTCTAACCTGGCTTTATCTTCCATCTGTAAATGTGGAATGGGGTGTGTGGGCAGAAGAGATGGGTCATAGTGGTAGACCCAGCCCTCCCATTGGCATCTGCTTACCGAGGAGCCTGTCCCCTGCTCTGCCAGGTGCCATCGCCTGCAGGATTCTTTGTTCAGCTCTAACAGTGGCTTCAGCAACTACCGTGGCATCCTGAATTGGTGTGTGGTGATGCTGGTAAGTAGACTGGGGTGTGGGAGCAGGCCTACCTGTAGGCAGGTGTGGCAGAACTGCCTAGGCTGGCATTATGCTGGACATAGGTTCTTTTTTTTTGGTACCGGGGATCGAACTTATGCCGCTGAGCTAAATCCCCGGCCTTGGGCATAGGTTCTTGCCAGAGGTATGAGTACACTGCAGCTGTGCTGAGAAGGCCACAGCCTGTGGGCTGGTGGGGAAAGTAGAGGTGCTTCCTGCATTGATCACATGGGGTCACCCTGTGCCCTAGGAAGGCACAGGGATAGTGGGGAAGCTTAGCAGTATACCTGGGGCTCAAAGACTTTGGCTGTGATGTGTTTCTAAGATGCAAGGTTCCCCTGGCTGTAGGAAAGCAGAGAGGGGTGTTCTGTGGGTATAAGGCCTCCCTGGGAATGTATGGCTTTATGGCTATGGAAACATCCGGCATTCTATAACTCCCACTGCTCTACAAGCCCCCTGACTCCTTATCCTTGGCCTTGGGTCCTAGTGGGTGGAGCCTTTAAGTATGTCCAAGGTCTGCAGTCTCTTGGGCTTGATTTCCACTCGCACTTTGTTGAGGCATGGCCAGCAGCCCCACCTGAGGCCACTGGAGTCCAAGGCTCAAAGGGACAGCCTGAAGGGTGAGTCAGGAGCAAGGTGCTAACTCTGTTCAGTTTCTGTCACTCAGGGTTGATATGGCTCAAGGCCTTTGACCCTTACCCATGTGTCTGCTCTGCTTTGGCCACAGCTCCTGTGGCTATGTGGAAGGGCTTTGTATACCATTTCCTGCTATATCTTGTCAGGGGTCATAAGGCCTGGAGGGTGAGATGGTAGGCACAGTAGGCACAAGGCCAGCCTAGTTCTCAAAAGATGACATGTCCCATTCTTGACCCAGGCTGGGGTCTATAGAGGTTACTGACCAGGGAAGGCCCTCATCCAGCCCAGGCAGCACTGTATATTTTCTTGCAACTCTTGGGTCTGCTGGCTCTTGGGGACGGGTCACAGGCTTTCTTGTGTTCTGGCTTCAACTGACCCTTTCTATATGGTATGTGCAACCTGGATGCTCGAGTGTCCATATAGTGGGTGACAATATAGGACTATGAGTGTTGAGCCAGCAGGCAGGGCAGTCTTGGAGGTAGGACAGGTGGGATGGTGACTCCAGTGTCTCTGAGCTTGTCACCTCCTCTGTAAAGCCTTCCCTTACAGTGTTCCCTTGCTGGTATTGCTTTTCTGCAGCACCCATCACCTCTACTGTTTAGGACCTGAGCTCTGGGCAGTTGGATGGTGTAGTAGCATCAGTGCCTAGCTTTCAGGTGCTTGTGAGATAGATGAGGAGGCCAACCATCCAGCCCCAGGGGCCTGTCTTGATGGGGGGAGGGGTCAGCCCTTAGAGACTATATTAGCCAAGCCCTCAGCCTTGGAGTGTTACAGGAATAGCTGAGGCAGGGCAGGGAGAAAGTACCTCATCTGTCTCAGCTATGATGATGTCTTTCTTCTGTTTGTAGGGCCTGCCATTCCTTGTTTAAGTCTCTTGCTCCCAAGCTGGACACTGCAGGGACTAGCCTGGCTGATGGAGTAGCGCTAATTCTCCCCCCCCCCCCAGTAGGGACTAGTCTTCGGGGTTCAGCCTTGGCCCGCTTCTCCTGGCAGGCATGAATCTGGGGATGACACTCAGGTGGATGGCTGATTTGGCTTTGGGTTCCTCAGTTTGGTAGGAGGGATGAGTGCTACTGAACTGCAGGTCTGCCTCCTGCTGGAGATGCTTGGTAGAGTTGGCCTCTCTGCATGGGACAGTAACACATCTTTCTGTCCTGTACTGACTGGTGTATGGTGAATTTGTTTGGTGTGGAATCAGAAGGAACTGTGTCTGCAAGGTAGAGGCTGCCACCCCTGACCTTTCACTCCAGAAGTGTTAAGGGGAGCTGGGAGATGCTAGTGGGATATCCTGTGGTCAATACTCTGAGGGCTGAGCCCCCCCCTGGTGGTTTTTTTCAGATCTTGAGCAATGCTCGATTGTTTTTGGAGAACCTCATCAAGTGAGTACTTTCTGCAGGCTCTGCCCACTGTCTGTCTAGGCTCTGTTCCTAGGCCAGGGCCCACAACCACTTAGGTCCTTACTACCTCACCTTTAGGTATGGCATCCTGGTGGATCCTATCCAGGTGGTGTCTCTGTTCCTGAAGGATCCCTACAGCTGGCCTGCCCCATGTCTGGTTATTGGTGAGCTGGGCTCTGAGGAAGGCCATGGGTGGGCACAAGGCTGACTGGGGCCCTGAACTTGCCCTATGATGTTTTTGTTCTCAGTGGCCAATGTCTTTGTTGTGGCCGCATTCCAGGTTGAGAAGCACTTGGCAGTGGTAAGCAGTGCCTGTCCTTTCCCTACCATAGTCCTTGGGAGCCTGTCCCAGAGTGAGGCCTTGATTAAATGCCCCCACCCAACAGGGCACCCTAACAGAGCAGGTGGGGCTGCTGCTGCATGTGGCCAACCTCGTCATCATTCTCTGCTTCCCAGCAGCTGTGGCCTTACTGGACAAGTCCATCACTCCAGGTGTGCCTCTATCCCCTCTGGGCCAACTCTGGCTCAGCTTCATGGCTTAGTTTCCAGAGTATATGGTGGGTTGTGGCTGAGCATGTCTCTTTTTGCAGTGGGTTCTGTGCTGGCCCTGATAGTGTACACCATCCTCTTCCTCAAGCTATTCTCCTACCGGGATGTCAACCTTTGGTGCCGACAGCACAGGGCGAAGGCCAAGACTGGTGAGAGATTTGGGGGCTGGGCCTACCTCAAGGGTTGTGCTGGGTGGAACAAGCCACTCCACTCTGCACTGATTTGTTTTCAGCCTCTGCAGGGAAGAAAGCCAGTGAGGACAGTGCCCAAGGCATTGTGCGCTACCCAGACAACCTGACCTACCGTGGTGAGCACTTGGTGTGTCAGGGGGGTGTTTGAGTTCCAGGGTGGAGACAGTCATATCTCTGCTGGTTCCAACCCCTCCCTTTCCTTCTAGATCTCTACTACTTCATTTTTGCCCCTACTTTGTGTTATGAACTGAACTTTCCCCGTTCACCCCGGATCCGAAAACGCTTTCTGCTGCGACGACTCCTTGAGATAGTAAGATTTGGTGCTTGGGGAGCCACCAAGGGCAGGGCCTGGTCGCGACTGGAATCTCAGCTGCTACTCTCTGGGTCTTTCCCCAGCTGTTCTTCACCCAGCTCCAGGTGGGCCTGATCCAGCAGGTGAGTAGGAGAGGGGATTGGGTGGTAGGGCTCAGCATGGCTGAAATTAACATGGTGTCTTCTTTTGTAGTGGATGGTCCCCACCATCCAGAACTCCATGAAGCCTTTCAGGGTGAGCAGCTCACTGTTTTACAGCTGGGGTAGGCTGGGTGGTGGTGGGAGCACACAGTGGATGAAGCATCCTGTCTCTACAGGATATGGACTACTCACGCATTATCGAGCGCCTCCTGAAGCTGGCGGTGAGTGTCACTGGCTGGCAGGTGGGTAAAGCGTGAGGGTGGAAGTGTTCTGCAACTGGAGCCCCCTCCCTCTCCAGGTTCCCAACCACCTCATCTGGCTCATCTTCTTCTACTGGTTTTTTCACTCCTGTATGAATGCTGTTGCAGAGCTGATGCAGTTTGGAGACCGGGAGTTCTACCGAGATTGGTGGTAGGTGGGAGTGGCCCTTGGGGCTTTGTGAGTCACACAGTACCCTGCTTATCCTGTTGTCCCTTGACTCTCAGGAACTCTGAGTCTGTCACTTACTTCTGGCAGAACTGGAACATCCCAGTGCACAAGTGGTGCCTCAGGTGGGTGGTTTTGCACCTATGTAGGGTATGGGTATGGCCTGGGGTTCTTCCCAGAACCTTATCCCATAGCTAATTCCTCTGCAGACACTTTTACAAGCCTCTGGTTCGACGAGGCAACAGCAAATGGATGGCCAACACAGGAGTGTTCCTAGCCTCAGCCTTTTTCCATGAGGTTAGTGCTCCCAGTGTCCTGCTCCACCTTGGGATAGGAGGGTGGCAATGGCTAAGGCCTGATGCCACTTATCCTTTCTCTATATAGTACGTGTTGAGCATCCCCCTGCGTATGTTCCGTCTCTGGGCCTTTACAGCCATGATAGCCCAGGTGAGTGAACTGCCCTGCCAGCCTGCCTCCTATCTCCATGCCAAGTCCCATTTCCTATAGTCACTGAGGCTGATGGACCTTGTCTGTGCTTGTCCCCAGGTTCCACTGGCATGGATTGTGGGCCGCTTCTTCCAGGGCAACTATGGCAATGCAGCTGTGTGGCTGACACTCATCATTGGGCAGCCGATGGCTGTGCTCATGTATGTCCATGACTACTACGTGCTCAACTATGAGCCCTCAACAGCATATGCTTGAGCTGCTCCCAAGTCCAGCTTTTCTTCCCTGTCCACAGCCATAGCCAGATGTCTTCTGCCTGGGCCAGGAGTTTTTTAGATGGCCTGACTGCTTACACCCTTCTCCTGCCCTGGAAGGCCTCTTTGCCCCTAAGGGGCTCTCTCCTCTTCCCATGACAGATGTCAGTAGCAGTAGCTGGTGGAGACAGTGTCAGTAGTATGCTGACCAGGGATCAAGGGTGTCAATAAAGTACTGTCTAATGTAACTTCTCTCATGTTTTTGGGGGTATGGGGACTGGTGGGGACAGCCCACACCCAGTGGGGTCAGAGATGTCCAATGGCCCTCAGGCTTCCAACTATGGCTATGACACAGCATTCGGGTTCCAATGTTCCCTTTCACTCCAGCCAGCAGACACTCTTGAGTGTCAGCAACTTGGGGTATAGAGGCAAGACTGCTCAGTTGCAGCAGAGTAGAGCTCAAGCACTGAGGGAGGAACAGCCTAACTTAAGGTAAGCAGCAGGGCAGGACTGGCGAGGGGGGGAGGGTCCAGCTGAGGTCATAGTTCTGGTCTTGCCCTGGATGAGGCTGCTGGGCAAATCTAGATACACTGATATTCAGCCCGGGCCTGGGAAAGGGTGCTCAGGCTTTCTTGGAGTGGCCTCAGATGAGCACGCCAGTGTTCAGGGCCTTTCTTAAATCTGGCAGGCTAAGAAGAGGTTAGTTCATGACTAACTCACCTGGGGAGGCCTCTCATCAGGGTCCATGTTGGCCTCCAGGACAGTTAATAGCCTATGGGACTTGTGCTAGAGAGAGCTGTTATTAATGAAAGTTCTAAAAAGTTTACTGTCACTGCTCTATAGAGGAACCTGGTTTATACCCCTGGAGGTAAGACCTCCTCAGTTCTGTGTGGCTTGTTTGGAGCTAGACTGCCCCTTAATTTGGCTTCCTGCCAGCAGTGTACCAGTGGCTCTAGGGTACCTTGCAGAAGGATGAGGTTTGTCTGTGTTTCACTTCCCAACCTTTGGTTTGCCTGGCAGTGCAGGGGTGGGGGCGACGGTCCTATGACTTTTGGAAGGCTGCCTTACTGCCAGCCCCTCTTTATCTGCCAAGCTGGGCAGAGGCCATCTTACTGGCAGAGGTGCAAGGCAACCCAGGCCCTATATCCCTGCCTCGTCTTGGTGGGCTGGTGGTAAAAACCACAAGGCTGAACTGGGGAAGCCATAGTTGACCTAAAGCAGTGGCCCAGTAAGATGGGGAAGGTGGGTGGTTGCCTCAGGGCTGTGCTGCTTTAGCCCCTTTAAATTGGTTTGTATCATCTCTCTGGTCATGGCAGTGAAGGGAAGGGAGGTTAACTAGGGGCTGCTTTATCCTGGCTGGTGCTCCTCACAAGGAGGCCAGCAGACCCCAGGGTGCAGACAGTGCCTCTCTGGTAGCAATCACCCTGACCTGCTGATGACAGTGAGTAGTAGGTGAATTTCTGGGCAGATAGAGTGACCTGGGGCTGTCTGGCCTGTCTCTCCTACATAGTGGGGCCCTTGTGCCACCCTCCACCCCTCAGATGGCAGGGCTTGACCTGGGAGACAGGAATGTACCACTGTCACCCAGGGAGCAAGAATAGGCTGCCTCTGCCCCAAAGCCAGCCCAGTTTCACAAGTACAGAAAGGAGTCTGACTCTTTCCCCTTCCGCAGGTATACCTATTTATGTCCCCATTCTTGAGTGGGCACATCTTAAGAAAGGAGGCCAGCTGAAACCCAGCCAAACTGCCCTTCTTTGCCACCCCCAGAGCTGTAAGCAAAAACTGGTTCTAGGGCATCTGCTGTTTTCCAGGGTCACCAAAAGCCACGCCTGCAGTGACCTCTCTATCTTGGGCTTTTCCCTTGCATCTGAACCTTATTACCCCAGGGTAGGAAGAAACACAGGGGAGGCCACAGCACAGAGCTTGTCCATTTATAGATTACTATCACTCTTTTCTGTCTATGTTTATATATTTCTTTGTGAAAGGGAAGGGGACCCTCATGTAAAAAATCCAAAATACAATTCTATAAACAACCTGCAGGGTCAGTCCAAAGTGTATCTGTGAAGCCTCAACCAAACCAGGACTCCCAGGTTGGGGCAAGGGCAGTGAGTGTGCAGGCCTCAGGACTTTCACCAGACCCAAGGCACTGCCCAGCCCCAAGTCCCTTTGCTGTGCCCTACTGGGGCTGTAGAAGCTGATCCAGGACACCCCAGGACTATGTGCCTGTCCCGAGATGGGAGGCAGACCACAGGCCAGCCTGTCTTTCTGGGGTCTCTAGGAGACAGTGGGGTCCTTGGCTTTGGAGGCTTCAGAGCCTGTCAGCAGGGAGATTGTAGGGTCATCCGTGTAGTCATCCCCCTCAGAGAAGTAGGAGCCCTCCCCAAGCTCAAAGAGCACAGGCAGCTCGCTGTTCCCTGTGTCCACGGCATCTGGGTCCAGCAGGAACAGGGGCTGTGCTGTGTAGTGCACCAGCTGCTTCCCTGTAGGGTAGGGATCAGCTGTGGGGTGGGCAAGGGGGAGGAGAAAGGGTAGGGAGGTGGCACAGAGCTTGCTCACCTGAGTCAGAGCTGCTGTTCTCTGCCTCAAGAGGTCTAGGAGGTTCCTGGGGAGACAGGAGCTCCTGGATCTATGGGTTGGAAGAGGTACCATAAGGGCTGCTGTGAGGCCCCTCTGCCCCCCACCCTGCCCGCCTACGCACGCTGGCCAGGCTGCTGTCAATGTCAGGCAGGCTCATGTCAGGCAAGGTCACGGAGGGGCTGAACAGCTGTGGGAGGGAGGGAGGGAAGTCAGGGCTGACTGGTGACCAGGCAGGGCCAGGTGGGTGGAGTGGGTCAGACTCACGTCCAGCAGGGCACCGGTATCCACACTGAAGCCATGGCTGGTCAGCATGGTCTGCAGGTTGTCCAGGTTGGAGTCCATGGCGTCCAGATGGTCACTAAGCTCATTCCTGGCCCAAGGTGAGGGCAGGTAAACCAGTGGCCTAGGTCCCTCAACCCAGACATGCTCTTTTGGGGGAAGGGCTCCCCTTGGCGTTGCCCCCAGGACAGCCAGCATGGAACTGGGGAATAGGGGACTCTGTGTTTGTGTGTGTGTCCTTGGTGAGAACAGCTGGGCCAAGAAGGCAGCAGAGGACAAGGGGGTCAGCTCTAGAAATGGGAGGGGGACAGAACTCTTCCAGCTCAAGGGAGTTTAACCATTGCACTTGAAAAATAGCAAGAAGACAGAGCTGTGCTCAGTGGGGCTGGGTCTGTCCCTCTCCCAGCCCCTGCTGTGACTCAGAAGGCCCTAGGCCACTGGGTACACCTAGGCCATGAGGGCAGCAGCTAGGCTGGCTCCACAAGTGCTACAGGGCCCACCCCACCCAGAGGGGAAACTTAGCAAGTCACCCTACATCCTGCCTGCATTGATGGCCAGGTCAGGTGGGACCCTGTTTCAGTCACAGCCACTGGCCTATGCCCAGGGCAGTTGGTGAAGATGCAGAGCCTGAGAGGCTGTCCCCTGGGTACCTTCCACCAGACAAGGTGAGTGTGCTATACCCAGGTCAGGATCTGGTGGCTGCAGGAGGGGCCCGAGCTCTGGCAGAGCCCTCCTCCCTCCCCATTGGGGGCAGCGCTAACCCTGGCTGGACTCGGCCATGCAGAAAGGAAGAAGAGGGGCAGGGGAAGAGGCGGGCGACCCCAGACATCTGTGGAGTGCGAGCCAAACTGCAAGATACAAAGACAAGAGCCCCCCCCATTGCAGGCAGAGGCCGGGGGAGGGGTCTATGCCCACTACCCTTGCTTAGCCTCTGGGGCAGGGTCTCAGGTGGTCAAGACTGAGCCTTCACTCTCCATATCCTGCCCTAGTATGTACAGCATCACAAGTACCATGATCCTGTACTTTGCTATAGTTGGCGTGATGGCTGTAGTAAGAGGGCCCAGAGGGCTGGGGCTCCTAGAAAAGTGAGGCCCTGCCATGTACCCTTAGCTTCTGTGGAATGAGGGCTGTGGTAATCTGAATAGCATCTCCCCCCAGCCTTAAGCCCTGAGGTTAGTATGTGAGTGTGGGGCTCAGGTCTACTCCACTTACCCTCAGCAAACAGTGCCCACAGACCCTGGAGGTCCTGCCTTGCTTGCCACTCTGTGCTAGCCCTCCAGGACCATCCCAGCAAAGGCCCTAGCTACATGCATAGGAGCAGTACTCACTTGTCCAGGCAGGCTACGCTGAGGCACTTCTCAGAGGCAGAAGCCGGTGTGGGTGAGGGGGCGTGGCTTCTAGCTTCGGTGGAGACTACAGCTGTGGCTGAGGTGGCAGGGGCAGGTTCGGTCTCCCGCAGGATGGAGTCGATGAGGGCGGTCGGGGACAAGGGAGTGTCTACAGAGGATGGGTGCCCAGGACTGGCCTCCTCCACCCGGGGGCTGCGAGGTGGGCTGGGGGGTTCTTCCTTGACATGCACCAAAGGGCTGCTGGACAGGGGCCTAGACATAGTGGGGATGTCAGGAGGAGCCCCAGCTGGCTCCACCACTCCCAACTCTGTCCTGGGCCCACAGAAGGACAGAACTAGTGACATGGCCTACCTCTCATCTATGTTCCTGCCTGGAGAGGCCAGGGGGCTGGTGGGAGCCAGCTCCGTGATATCAGAGATTATGGGTCCTGAGCTGGTGACAGAGTCTGGGGCATAGAGGCTGGAGCTACTGTAGGCCGAGGATGAAGCCTGCAATCAGAGGCAGTGGCCACATGCATACATGCCTGTGGCAGCACAGTGTCCTGGGTACCTGGTGGCTGTGCCATCTGGCTCGATGCATACCGAGTACGAGCCTGGGCCGTGGACACGTTCCAAGGAGTACTGTCGGGCGTACTTGGGCACAGAGTGTGCTGAACTGCTGTCACTCAACATTAGGGGGCTGCAGGGGAAGAGTGGGGTTAGCTGTCTGCCAGGATGCAACAGAAGAGGCAAGGATACCCAGGCCTAGGTGGAGGGTGCAGGCATCCCCAGTGCCTCACATCTTTCTCTTCACCCCTAGGATCCGGTTTGATTGCACCAGCGAGATCAGGAACTGAATGAGCTGTGGGGCAGAGAGGACACTGTCACTCTGGCCCAGCCGTGGAGGGACCTACCTACCACCAGTTCTGCCTTACCTTGTTGACGACCTTCTGCTGCTGGGCATGTTTTTGCCGCAGGCTGGCCACTTCCCGCCACAAGGCCTCATTCTCGCTGTGACACATAAGGAGGTCAGTGGGTCCCTGTTTCAGGAGCTGGGCAAGGTTCCACAGACCTCCCCTGAACTCAGGCAGGTAAAGGCATAGGAGACAAGACTGGTGCAGGGGTCTTGCTGACACCAACCCTCCAGCCCCAGTCCCACTGTATTTCTTTTGTGGTATTGTGGATAAAACACAGGACCTTGTGCATGCAAAGCAAGAGCTCTACCACTGAGCTACATCTCCAGCCCACTGTGTTTCTAGGGGACACAAAAATACCAGTGGGATGGAAAGGCTTGAGGGAAGGCAGAACTGGAGTAGACCTCGCCTGGTACGTATCAAGATCCTCGCACCATGTTGGCTGGCCCTCCCAAGGTCTTACTGGAGTTGTGCCCCCAGCCTCAACCACCTGCCCCCCTTGAGCATAAGAGACAGGTTCTCGAGTAGTCAGGCTTTTGGGGCCTGTGTGACACATGGGAGAAATCCTGTGTCTTGTGGGGGGAGCATCTAGGAGCCCCTTATCAGGGTTGGAGTAGCCTTGTGGGTGGGGATGAAGTACCTGAGCACTTTTGCCACCACCCAGGTAAGCAGGGCCCTTATTCATCCCTGCCACTCTGGTGGGCTGGCTCCACAAAGCTCCTAACCAATCTTTGTTCCCATGCCCTGGGAAATGGCCACGAGAAAGGCTGGTTTACTAGCGGCAGCCCTGCCTGTTTCTCTGTGCCACTCATGTGCTAGGCTTTTGCAGTGGAATTTGCAAGAACTCAGGTCCTGCCTAAGGGACCACAGGGAATTCATGTAGTGGCTACAGGGCTTCTAGTAAAAACCTGAACTGCTTTGCCCACAAGCTCGTGCAGAGGCATCTGAGAATGGTGACACCTTGTGCCAGGCAATGCTAGGTATTGGGGTCAGGCTCTTGACAGCCTTGGCCCTCAGGGAGACGCCAAATCCCAGCTTGCCTATGGGCACAGGAACCAGGGGAAAACTGATCTTCTCAGAACAGGAGCATGACTTAGCAGAATGGAAAATGAAGGCAGTGGGCACTACATAGGAGTGTTCTAAACTTAAGAGACTTGCAGGTTCAAGAGCTTCTGCCACAGAAACCACAGCAAGTGGGGCTGGGGAAGATCGGAGAGCAGCTCTCTGCAGGGATGGGTAGGGGCGGGCCTCCTTATCCCTCCCAAGCCATGGGACCTACTGCTTCATGGCTAGGAGCTTGGAGTCCATACACTCCTGCTTCCCCTTCATCAGCTGCACATCTGTCAACAGCTTGGTGACACTGTCCTGGTGGATCTTTATGTCCTCACTCTTCAGGGTGGACACCTGGGTTGAGGGTGAGGAGCAAGAGTCTCTGAGGTGGCACTGGAGCATGGTGGCTCCCATGCTGCAGTAGATCCCAGAGAGAGGGAGACCTAGGGTGTAGTGGGAAGAGCCATGGGCCTGTCAATGTGAAGGCTGAAGGGTGCTAAGTGTGTGTATGAGTGTGTGGAGTGTCTGAAAGGGAGAGTTCAGGGGGTATACTGCGTGGAAGCTGCTCCACATACAGCCTGTAGGGAGCCCAAGGCTGGGGACTCACACTTGTTACTTTCCTCTTGATGTTCTCCAGGAGCTGCTCTTGACCACGCAGGAAGCATGGGTGCTGGAATTCAGTGTCATCCCTCTCTGGCTTGACCAGGCCACCCTGCTCAATGTGGACCACTTTCCGGAAACCATCTGCATACACGGGGGAGGACAGGTCCACATGAGGGCAGAGGCCAGAGCCTAAACTTGTGACTGGGTGGTTCTACCCGAGGAACCCCATCGCCACACAGTTCCTTCTATACTACACAAGTGCCCCAGCTCTGAGCTGCATCCCAACCCCTAGTTCCACTCCTCCTGTTCAGGAGAGAGACTCCCCCATGTGGCCCTCAGGTTTGCCCCTCAGGGTTCTCCCACCCCAGGAATGGCATTCTACCCCAGCCCCAAGGCAAGCCAGGCCAGGGCTCACCTCCTACTGCAGGGTCAGTATACTCACACATGTTGAGCTGCCGCACGAAGCTGGCCATGTTGTTGTGCTTGAAGTACTTGGGCAGCACTTCCTTAGCAAACTGGCCCTGGTCGAACACATGAAAGCTGTTCCCACTCTGTCAGGAGATACATGGGAGCTGTGTGTAGTTGACAGATCCTGGGGCTTGCACAAGAAGCACTTACCCCTTGGACCCTAGCCTATCTCCTATCTAAGAGGCCCAGGGCTAGGTGGTGGAGGCCACACAGCCGGAGAGGAGCTCTCTTGCTCATGCTTCCTGTATATTGTGATTATATTCATGAAAAGCCCATAGCACTCTGGCCCCATGCTCTAGGGAACTGACATTTACTTTAATCAGCAAATTTTCCTTGAGAACAGCCAGATAAACTAAGATCACCAAGGAAATGTGCCCAAATTTCTGCCACTCTGGAGGAAGATACAATTATGCCCAGAAATGCAACTTTATTCTCCTGGCACATTAAACAACACTAGAGACTGTCAAGCTCTGCATGTGCAGCCTTTTCTAAACTCAGTCATGGTGGCTCAGGAGTCATGGATTAGGAGTAGGCAGGGCCACAGAGTGGTAGGGGAAGGCGGGCTCTGTGGTGGTACTGAGCCCAGGAATCAATAAGTAAGGGACAGTGAAGCAGGGATCTCCCTAGTGGGGGCAGGAACTATGATGTGGGCTTTCTGGTTTCTTTAGAAACCAGACAGCTTGGTGGTCCCAGGTTAGCCACCAGAGCTACTTTCCAACACAGAAGCACAAAAATAAGCACAGGCACAAACAGGTAGTGAACAGAAACAGCAGTGGAAGGCTTTAAAGTAGCAGGGAGAAAACTGGTAAGAAAAGCTGTTGACTCTTCCAGGTCTCGGAAAAGGAACCAGAAAATAGTAAGTAGCTCCCGGATCAATAGAGATAAGAAATAATAGTAGAAATAAGGTTGAGTTTTTCTGCCTCTTTCAGCAGTGAGCTGCACGGTCTGCCCTGGTTCACCTCCCCTCCTGCAACCCTGAAAGCCAAAGGCTGCAGCTCCTTCAGGACCCATTACAGAGGACTGTCAGTATCAGACAGCTCCCTGGAAGAAGATTCCAAATGTGAGGATAGTTGGCTTGCACTTCATTCATTTATTCAATTTGGTGTTTTGAGACAGGGTCTCACTGTAATTCAAGCTGGCTTTGAACTTACTATGTAACCTGGGCTGGCCTTAAATTTGTATCAATCCTCCTGTATGCTGGGATTACAGGTATGACCACCATGCTCAGAAAAAGGCAATTTTTAAAGGTCATGGCTGCTGCAACATTAACAGAGGGCAATCAGAAAATTTAAAAGGCAAAGGTGGTAAAAGAGATCATTAGGGTCCTGAAACATCTGAGAATTCCTGAGACTCTAAAGGCTACAAGTATTTATGCCTGGGAAAGACCCGAAGAGCCCTGAGCTCTTACCTCTGCTGATCCTGGAGCCTGGCATAAGAAGGCTCAGTGTTCAAGGTGAACCATAACATGCAGAGATTTACCGGCTCTATGCGTTTAAGAAACATCTGGTCCAGACTGAGCTAAACGAACACTGCAGTAACAGTATTCAAAGAATAGACTCTACAGAGTCAGGAAAGCTACTGGCCAACCTTGCTGACACATGCCTGTAACACCAGTACTTGGGAGGCTGAGGCAGGATGATTGCCGAGTTCAACACCAGCCTAGGCTACAAAGTGAGTTCAAGACCAATCTGAACTACATAGCAAAACCCTGTCTCAATAAAACAAATACAAACCTATACAATGAGACCCTGTATCAAAAATCACAATGAAATCCTGTATCAAAAAAAGAGCCAATAACCTTTCAAATCTTACAGAGAACATCCAAAGTAAAAGAAACTCCAAGTAGGAATAATTAAAAGGGATCATGCCTTTGGCATTTTATTTTATTTATGTATTTTTTTTGTCTTTCTGAGACAAGATTTCACTATGTAGCTCCAGCCTGTAAAGCAGACAGGACCTAGAGGAATGAGGGTGAATGTTTTTTAGTTTTTTTTTTTTTTTCCTTCTTGAGACAGGGTCTTGCTATGCAGTTCAGACTGGCCTTGAGCTCATTTTGAAGCCCAGGCTAGTCTCGAACTCGCACAATCCTCCTGCCTCAGCCTCCCGAGTGCTGGGATTACAGGCATGAGCCACCACACCAGATTAGAGTTTTCAATGATAAATACTTCTGTGAAACGCATGTCATGGGTTCACCGTCACTGGTCTAGAGTGTCAACAGCCACAAAAAGGTAGTGGCCCACTCAAGGAAAAAACACTGCCAGTTAGGAATCAGTATGCAGAAACACTACCATTTTCACTTTTGGGGAGGCAAAGTGAGAAGTCTCTGGAAATTTTTCTAAAGTGTCTAACAAATAAAGCAACATGTACTTAGTGAAGCCCACTGCAACTGTAAGACAGCCATCACGCACTCTCCCAGTCACTGCAACTTCAGGCTGAAGGCTGTGGCCATATGAAGGGCCCCATCCTAGTTCCCCTCAAGGATTTAGGGACACTTCTGGGAGGGGCATCCTCTGAGGCAACTGAATGTGGCTGCCAGGACAGGTCCTTCTCCAGCTCCAGTCTTGTCCCTAGAATGGGGCCTCTACTCTAGGCCCAGCAACTGATAACCCTGGGTTGCCATCACCCTCATACCAGCTTACATGCTAGGAGCATGGAGTCAAGGATAGTGCTCAGGCTAGTCGCTCCTTGCCTTTGCCCAGGGGAGCAGGAGCGCTCTGTTCCTCCTTAAAGAGCTTACTTCTTATGGAATGGTATGGGAAAGCTCAGATCTTTGTTTGCTCATAACCACAGCTCCAAATCAGAAGAGGCTAAATCCCATAGCAGTCTGCTTGGCTGGACAGTGCCTAAGCTTGAGCTGAAATGGCCACTGTTCAACCAACAATCCCACTCTGCCTTCCCCCTCAGCCCCAGCAGCCCAACAACCTCACCTCTAAACTAAATGTAACCAAGCCCCTCATCAGAGGTCAGATTTAACTAGACTCAACGGTCCTAACTATGTGTGTTCAGGGGTACTATAAAAAACAACAGAGTAATTACTGGAGCTTAAGGACTGGGTGTGAGCCTACCAAGTTACTAGCCAGCAGGAAAGAGAACAGAAACAGGCACAGGAGAAAGGGACAGCCACTTGAAGTCCTAAAATATACTAGCTAAAATGTACAGGCCTTCAACAAAATACACAAGGTGTGCATAAAAAACAGGAACTTGTGACCCATGCACAGAGGAGTAGAGAGCAGAAGCTGCCTGTGAGAGACAGACAAAAGACACAGATTCAAAAGACATCCAGTATGTCTCTGTAAATCTTTTCAGAGAACTGAAGAAAACTGGAATTAAAAGGAGCACACAAAGTATCATCAAACAGAAAAATCTGTAAGGTGTAACTCATAAAGATGGTTCTCAGGTATAACTGCATATATATTTAAGTGTATAAGATAGATAACCATATTACTGGGTTTTGTTGGATCATTGAACAAAACTGTTTGCAGTCTCACTGTTTGAAAGTCCCCTCTATATGCTTTAATTTTGTAACTTCAACAACTATTTCTAGGATGACAATATGTAATTAACTAATGATTTCCTGTTTATTTTTTCTGAAATTCCGTACAACTTGTACCCTTTTTTTTTCTTTTTCCTCCTTAAATAAAATAAAAAAGATGATTCTCAGGGACTGGCCTTGAACTTGTGGCTATCCTTTTGCCTCAGCCTCCCAAAGTGCTGAGATTATAGGCATGTGCTACGATACCCAGCTCTCATGGAAATTCTTGTAGAAAAACCAACATGAAAAGTTCATTGGTAGCTTGATGGAGGTGAGCTGCAAAGAAAACTCTGAAAACCTATTTCATCTTTTTTTTTCTTTTTGGTACTGGGAATCAAACTGGGGATCTTGGGGCCAGGGACCTAGCTCAATGGTGTAAATGCCTGCATGGTAAGCATGATGAGGTTGTGAGTTTGAGCCCCGGTACCAAAAAAACAAAAACAAAAACAAACTTGGGACTTTGTATTTGCCAGGCAGGCACTTGTGCCACTTAGCTATATCCCCAACCCCTGAAAATCTATTGCTAGATTATACAATCTAGGATTTTTTTTTTTTTTTTGGGTTTTTATCGGTACCAGGGATCAAACTCACGACTGCACACTTGCAAGGAAGGGCTTATGCTGCTGAGCTAAATCCCCAGCCCCAGATTATACAATTTAAACAACAGAAATAATATCAAAAAAATTACGGGGAACCATTAATTCTATCAGTAAACATAACAGAAGAAAGAGAAAGGGATGGAAAAAATACTAAAAAAATTCACACCTGCAGATTCAACCACCTGGGGATCTAAAAAAAAATTGGCTGAGGATTTCTGTTCCTGTATATAGGCCTTTTCTTGTCTTTCTGAGATAAGAATCAACTGTTGAACAGGATTACTGAAAATGCACACTACGCTTTGTCATGATCGGAAAGAAAACAATCTTTTATCATTGGTATAATGTGGACCCTTTTTTATAAAGATTTGTGTATCAGGCTGAACAAGTTTCTTGTTATTGTTAATTTTCTCATTTTTTTTTTAAAGTCATAAATTTTAACTTTTGTTAAACCTTTTTTTGGGTACTGGGAATTAAACCCAGGACTTCACACCTGCCAGGCAGGCACTGTGCCACTGAATTAAATACCTGCCCTAAATTTTGTGACACTACTCTTTATACAATGCTGAGTTGATTTGCTTATTTTGTGGAAAACATTATAAAAGACATTAGGCTGTGTTTTTTTGGACTATTTTTGCTAATTTTGATGTCAAAGTAATGCTGGCCTCATTTGCTAATTTGTGGAAGGATTTAAAAAACTGACACTATTTATTTTGCAATTGTTGGAATTCACCAGTGAAAATATTTGGGCCTGGACACTTCTCTTATGGAAGATTTATAACTGAGAGTCCAATTGTTGACGTCTTTTTTAGGTTGCTATTTCATCCCAGGTGAGACCAGTAGTTTAAGGTTTTGAAGGAATTGAAGGAAGGTCTATTTCATTCAGGTTGCAAAATCCACATGCAGCACGGTTTTCAGCACTTCCTCATTGGCTCACATTCTGCAGTGTCCACAG